GGGCAGCCAAGGGGCTGGGACACTGTTAACATGATTGACCGTCCGCCCTGACCTGATTGCCGAGCACTAACCGTCACCCACTAACGCCCCAGAGGTCCCAGGTATGTCTGTCCTCAGGGGTGGGGGCCGGGAGACTAGTCAGGCGCCTCACCCCCCTCACGCCGTCCCTGCAGGCTGCGTGTGGCGCTACGTCCGGGCCAGCGCCTCCTACTGCCCCTACCTGCCCCCGCTCTGCGACCCCAAGGACGGGCACCTGCTGGTGGACGGGTGCTACGTCAACAACGTGCCAGGTCAGCGAGCCCACCAGGCTGGCCGGGCCTCTGAGCGTGTCTGAGAGTGTCTGTGCGTGTCTGTGTCTGTGTGTCCCGCTGGGCAGGCTCCCTATGGCGATATGTGCGTGCCAGCATGACGCTCTCGGGCTACCTGCCCCCGCTGTGCGACCCGAAGGATGGGCACCTCCTCATGGATGGCGGCTACATCAACAACCTGCCAGGCAAGTGGCTGCCCGCTCACTCACATGCACACACGTGCACATAGGCAAACACGAGCCAGTTGGCCCATGTGTGGGTACACAGGTACATGGGAAGACACGTGAGCAAGCAGATCTGTGCAGGGGCATGAATGCACGTGCACATTCGTGCACAAGCAGATATGTGGGTGTGCCTGAAGACAGGAATGTGTGCAGTTGAAAAGTCTGGCCACGTGCTAAGACATAGACGGGGACACACAGACACGCACGTACACAGCAAGGAGCCTGGGCATGGACCGAGACCGGTACGTGTGCACAGCAGCCACATGTGCACACACACGTTCTGGCAGATGCTCGTGGGGCAGGTACAGTACACGTTTGCACAGGATCAGATGCACATGAACAAACACTTGTTGATGAAATAGGGCATAAGTCCTCACACACCAGTTTATCCACACTTGTTTCCTAAAATATGCACATATATCTTCATGTGCACACATGAAGATAAGTGGGGCACCTACGGGACTTAGTTAAGCTTTCACACGCACCTGCTGACTTGTGTTTGGGTGAGAGGTTGGGTGAGTTTGCAACTTTAAAATTTTACACACCCGGAAGCACGCATACACAAGTAGACATGTGTGCTAGCTGCACAATACACCTGCAGTCTCATAGCCAAGCATCGGCAAACTAAACCCTGCAGGCCAAATCTGGCTCCCTGCCTGATTTTGTAAATAAAGTTTTATTGATACAGCCACATTGAGTCATTTACTTGTTGTCTGTGGCTCCTTTTGTGCCACAATGGCAGAGTTGAGTAGTTGTGACAGAGACCATGTGGCCCGCAAAGCCGAAATTATTTACTCTCTCGCCCTTTCCAGAAAATTTGCCAGCTGTTAATGTAGGTGCTCTATCCACATAAATGCACTAACACAACTACACACATGCATGTGTGTACAAACCCATAAGTGGACAGGCACACTTGGACGTACAAGTAAACACACAGATGTTAATTTAGGCACACGAGGACTGAAATCAGTACAGACAGGCCTAGGGATGTGTATCTGCACAAATACACATGGACAGGAGATGCACACAGATGACAGGGACACATGCGGATGCACACAGACGTGGACATGGGCACATGTACCCAGACATGCAGACCAGCTTGTGAGGGACATATGTCCCCCCAGGCTTCCCCAGACCCAGTCGGGGACCTTCAGTGGGCCATATGGACCCACTGACATACCACCCTGCCTGCTGGGCCATCACCCCCATTCACTCACTCTTCCAACTGTCCTGAATCTCCTTGTCCCTGCTCTCGGCTCTCTGTCCCTCTTCACAGTCCCAAAGTCCCTCTCTCCTCCCGGATTCTCTCTCTTTCCATATCTCTGGTCCTGATCATCTTTCTCCGTCCGCCAGTCTCTGCTCTGCTGCATCTCTCTCCTTGTGGCTCCGTCTCCTGCTGTCTTTACTTCCACTTTTGTTTTCTCACCCTTCAGTCTCTCCGTATCTCTTTCTGTCTCCCTGTGTCTCTGCTTCCTCCATCTGTCTCTGCTGGTGTCCTTATGACTATTGATTTCCTTGCATCTCTTTCTTCATTTCTGTCCTCATGTCTTTTTCTCAGCAACTTCATCTGTTTGCCTCCATCTCCTCCATCCCTCTGGTCATAGTTCCCCACCTAAAAGCTCCAGCATCTGACCCCACCTCCTCAATGTCATTGGCATCGAAATTCCATGCCATTTGCATGCCAGCATGTCGTTTGCATGGGTTCTTTTCTGTGACCATTTGCATGATGGAGTTTGTGGGACTGGGTTGAAGTTCCCTGCTCCAGGCCCTCGTGGGGAGCCTCCAACTGACCCCCCTCGGCCCCACAGCGGACATCGCCCGCAGCATGGGTGCCAAGACAGTCATTGCCATCGACGTGGGGAGCCAGGATGAGACGGACCTCAGCACCTATGGGGACAGCTTGTCTGGCTGGTGGCTGCTGTGGAAAAGGCTAAACCCCTGGGCGGACAAGATCAAGGTTCCAGACATGGCCGAGATCCAGTCTCGCCTGGCCTACGTGTCCTGTGTACGGCAGCTGGAGGTCGTCAAGACCAGCTCCTACTGCGAGTACCTGCGCCCCCCTATTGACTGCTTCAAGACCATGGACTTCGGGAAGTTCGATCAGATCTATGTGAGTGGGTGTGAGTGGCCTGGTGCCAGTGTGGGGGGCTAGCAGAGCTTTACTACTGAAAGCCCCAAGCAACATGAGGGGAGGTGTTCTAGGGATCCCATTCCCAAATGGGATCTGTGGGGAATAGATTGGTAATGATTAGTGATGTCTGCAGTGGGTGTGGCAGGGGGATGTGGCTGCTCATGTGTTGTATATGAACTAAGTTTCTCATGTGCCAGCCGCACTGCCTGAAGCACTGTATAGAGATTTGAGGCTGTTTCTGCAGTTGGTGGGAATGAGAACAGTGACCGACTCATAATGTCTGCCACAGTCTGGGAGAGGAAAGGAGCAGTGTACATGTCATGCACCACTGACCCTGAAAAATGTGCCGTAGCCACATTTTTGATTGCTAGCCATTGCCCAGAGCCCTGAGTAGAAATGTTCGATCTCCTTCCCAGGCCCCCACTCTCTGTGCCCTGATGGACTAGTGATGTCTTTTATGGGTACAAGAGGTGGCGACACCCGCGGATATACCGACATACTGCATATTTGGACAGCTTGAAATAAGCTGGCCTACCACTACCTCATATCATTTGGTACCTGGCACACTGCATGGGGCGGAGTAGGAAAGAATGTGGAATGATTGATTAGTAATGTCTGGCAGGGGCAGAGAATGGAGGACATGGGAGCAGTTGTGCTACATATGGCTGTCTTTGAAACAGGGTTAGTCTCAAATGCCAGCTCCCCCAGAGCGTCAGGCTTTTGAGGGGCCAGGGAAGGGGCAGGCAAAGTGGGAATAAGCAGAGGGGATGAGGTGGAGAAGAACATCTGGCGTAGATGGCCCCAGCCTCTTGCTTTCTGCAGGATGTGGGCTACCAGTACGGGAAGGCTGTATTTGGGGGCTGGAGCCGGGGCGATGTCATTGAAAAGATGCTCACGGACCGGCGGTCTGCCGACCTTATCGAGAGCCGCCGCGCAGATGTAAGCCTAAGACTCACCCAGTCCCCCCGGGTCACCCCCCAAACCTCAGATGACCCTAGACCTCCCTGGTTTCGCTGAGCCCCTCTAACCAGAAAGTTCCCCCCACCCCGGATCTCTGAGCCCCCGAGACACCACCAGTCTCCTGACACCCAAGGACCCGATGGACCCCGCCCCAGCCCCTCACCCATGCTGCCTCACAGGTGTTGGCCTTCCCCAGCTCTGGGTTCACCGACTTGGCAGAGATCGTGTCCCGGATCGAGCCCCCCACCAGCTATGTTTCCGATGGCTGTGCTGATGGTGAGGGGCTGAGGGCACCCCCAGAAGGGTGGGGCTGGGCCTGGGGCCTGTGGGATGCGCAGAGATGTCAGACCAGCCCATGTCCCCTTACTTGCGCACTGCTCCCTGAATTCCAGGGGAGGAGTCAGATTGCCTGACAGAATATGAGGAGGATGCGGGACCTGATTGCTCTCGGGATGAAGGCGGCTCTCCTGAGGGCGCCAGCCCCAGCACTGCCTCTGAGATGGTGAGGGCTGGTGGCCTGGGGCCCACACGAGGTGGGGTTGACACCGGGGCACATGCCGAGTGATGTGTACCGGTATCCTGGCATGCATGTGTGACACTCCTTTCCCTACAGGAGGAGGAGAAGTCGATTCTCAGGCACCGGCGCTGTCTGCCACAGGACCCTCCCAGCTCAGCTGTGGACACCTGAGGACTTGCAGAGGAGTCCCGCCTGGGGCTGGGCTGGGGATGGGCCCTGTGGGGGTGGCTCACTCCCTCTCTGCCTGCTGCTATGCCTGTGACCCCCTGGATCCCCCTGGACCCCCAGGCTCCACACACTGGACTGCTGTGCCCCCAAGGGGAGGGGCAGCACTGCACTGATAACTCTTGAACTCATTCTTAATAAACCTTGCCCTTTCAGAAGTGGGCCCATGTCATCTTTGGGTTTGGGGGCACCTTGCCCCACCTTCCATGCTTAGGATGGCTGGAGCTTGTCACAGGGCCTTCCCCACACTGTGGGTGCTGTCCCGAAATTCATCTGTAGTTCCACTCAGTGCTGGCTCCAGACTACATGCACCCCAACCCTGGGAATCCCAGATGCCCTTGGGTACCTGTCCTGGCACCTCTCATTTTCCATACAAGTATCCCACAGCCTCTGCCCTGGGGCTGGTCCTACTGTGTGCAGGTACTCTGTGTTTTCTGTATGTTCCTACTGTGTGCACTGCTGAGCCTGGTTCCCAAAAGACACCCCATGCACACGCACACACACATACACTCAGGCACGGGGCTCAAGAACTTTACTCTCAGAGGCTCTGAGACATTGCCCCTACTGTGTGCTCAGCTGAGGTCACACAGAATGAGCCAGTCCCTACTGTGCACTGAGACCTGTCCCCCAGGGCTGTCACTGTCCTGGCATGTTGTGTTAAGAGCACAGACTGTGGAGCCAAACTCCCTGGTGTGAAACTCCAGCCTGGCCTCATCAGTGGCACTGGATTTGTGACCAAAACTCTCTGTGCCTCAGCTGTGAATGGGGATGCAAACAGTCCCTGCCCCATCAGGTGTTTCTGTAACTGGACTCTTACTGGGAGGGGATTGGATGCAGGGGATGAGGCTAGAGGCCAGAGACCAGAGATCAGGAAGAGATGATGAGGCCTAAACTAGGGCAGCAGACATGGAGATGGTGAGAGGGCAATGTCCAAGAAACATTTAATTTGGCAGAACGTAGAGACAGGTGGCAGTGGGGATCATGGAACTGGGGCACCAAGGAGGATGAGGGGAACTTGGGGAGGAACATCTTTACCAAGACGGGGTGAAGGGAAAGCAGCAGGAGTAGGGGAAGATGCTGGGCTCTGTTCAGGACTCACTGAGGAGGTGGCGAGGCCGTGGGGGGGAAATGGCAGGGGCTCTGGACATTTAGGGATAGGACCTCAGAGATTTGTGCCAGGAACAAGTCTGGAGACATCAAGACAATGGTGGAGACTGATGCTGTGAGGATAGATGAAGTCCAGAGAGGATGTGACAGTTAAGAATGGCCGTGGTTTTACTGTGTGCAGGTGCTGTCTCCGCCTGTTCCTCCGAGCTCCCCTCCTGGCCCAGAAATAGCCCGGCAATTTAAACCCGCTGAGGTGGGTCAGGTTTCCTAGTTCTGGTGACTCTGTGGTTTTGAGGTACTACTCTTCAAGGGAGGGCTAAGCTGAAGAAGGGCTGGAGCTTCCCAGAGTCCCCAGGTGTGTTGGTTTGCTGGAGCTGCCATACAAGTTACCATAGGCTGGGGACTTAAACAACAGAAACTTATTTCACAGTTCTGGAGGCTGAAAGTCTTGAGATCAAGGTGTCTTTAGGATTGGTTCCTTCTTGGCTTGTAGACAGCCATCTTCTCCCTGCGTCGTCACACAGTCTCCCCTCTGTGCATCTCTGCATCTTAATCTTTTCTTATAAGGATACCAGTCATATTGGATTAGGGCCCATCCTAACAGGCTCATTTTAACTTAATTGCCTCTTTAAACACTCTTATTTCCAAATACACTCGCATTCTGAGATCCTAGGGGTTAGGACTTCAATATATGATTTTTTTTTGGGGGGGGGGGCATAGTTCAGCCCAGAACTCCAGAGAAAATATTTCCAGCATGGTGGGCAGTGCAGAAAGCACAGGCCTGAGCTCAGACCTCCCGGTTTGAATCCCCATTTCTTCCAATTCCTAAATTTCACAAGAGACCTGGCTTTTCTGAGCTCTGGCTCCCGTATGAGTTACTGCTTCTGTAACTAATGACCACATCTCGGTGGCTCAAAACAACCCACACTTATTTTCTCACAGTTCTGCATGGCAGAATGTTGAATTGATGACTTCTCCCTTCTAGGGAATCTGGTCTCAGGGCGTCAGCACCACGGACAGCGAGAATACTGTTTGAGGTGCTAATGAAGCCCCCTTCCTGCCTTCCCCTCCAAGCCCCCGATATCCCTGCCCCTTCAAATTTTGAGGGGCACATTAAGCTGAATATTTAGCCCAAGTTTTTCCTCTGTCAACATCTTCGTCCTAATTGCCTTTCGCTCTGCCCTCACTCATCCGACCCCAGCAGCGTTCTTTCTTGTCTTTGAACACTTCATAGATTCCTGCCTCTTTGCCCTGAGCAGCTAAGTCAGTCTGTTCTCAAATATCACCTCTTCAGATTAGCTGAAGCTACTGTCTAAAGAAGCTTCTCCATCCCCACCTACCCCCTTTCCTTGCCTTTAAATCACATGCACTATCCACAGCTGTTTTACTTGTTTATCATCTCTCCATGAAACATACTCAAGTACAAGTTCCCTCACTGGAGAAAGCTTGCATAGAAGAGCTCCTGGCTCCCAGCAGGTGCTCAATAAATGTTTGTTGAATGAGATCAGGCTCTGAGATAAAAAAGAAGCCTGAGATGGCCCCCACTCTCTAGGGATCTTGAAATTCCACCCTGAAACCACATATTTTCCCTTGTCTTCAAACACATATGAACACCACCAGCAGCAATAGCAATCATTAATGTATGGTGAGATTGCCACATATCAGGCCTTGTGCACGCAAGCATATTCTCTTTGATTTCTCATAGTAGCTTTACAGAGAACACATTATTATCCCACTTTATAGAAAAAACTGAGGCTCGGAGAGGGCGTTAAGTTACACAGCTGTTAAGAGGTGGAGCCAGGATTCACATTCATAAGTCTACTCGCCACCCTATGCCATTTCCCCAGGAAGTGGGTTTGTTGAGGTTTCTGCTGTAGGTAGTCCCAGGAGCAGCACTTCATCCTCAGGAAAGGAGTCTTCCATGGACCTAGAAGGAGCCCCCCACACACACCCCATGGTCAATAGAGCCTACTCCTAAGATGTCCCAAGTCTCACCTACTTAGACTGGCACGAACCTCTCCTACCTTCTCTCACTCATCCTGGGCAGTATGGGACCGCTAGCACCTTGGAGTTGGAGTGGAGCCTGTTATGGCCTGAACTGTACCCCTCCAATTTATATATTGAAGTCAGTTATAAAACTAAGGAATGCCTGAAGTCATCAGAAGCTAAGAGAGAGTCATGGGACAGAGTGTCCCTCACAGCCTCAGAAGGAACCGATCCTGTTAACTCCTTGATCTTGCACTTCAGCCTCCAGAACTGCGAGACAATACATTTCTGTTGTTTAAGCAGCCCAGTCTGTGGTCCCTTGTTATAGCAGCCCTAGCGAACTAATATAGAGCCCTTGGCTGGACCCAGGTGCATGATATGGATGGCTTAATCTATTAGTCAGAATAAGTTAGAGTCTGCTACTGTAACAAATGACCTCAAAGTCTTGGGGGCTTAAAACAATAAACAATTAATTTCTTGCCCTCAGGACATATCTATCACAGATCATCTGGAGATATTTTTCCCATGTGCCTCACTCCACGACCCAGGTGATGAAGCAGCCACTATCTAGAATGTTTCAGGTCACTGTGGCAGAGGAAGGAAATCTCTGGGAGCCCTCCCACCAGCAATTAAATACTCTGGCCCAGAAATGACATAGCATTTTAGCTCACTGCTCATTGGTCAGAACGAGTCACATGGCCTTCTCTAACCATGAAGGGACGTACTCTACCGATGTGCTCTGGAGAGAGCATAGTAAGTATTCAGTTAACATTCACAACAACAGAGTTAGTTAGGTTTTTACTGGAGCTTCTCTCTGGTTCCAGAGTTGAGTCTCAGCTAGTGCCAAGAAATCTTGGGGTTCCATTGAGGGTCTGGGTTCCGGGTCAGAGGACCTGCCCCGTAGCTCACAGGAGCTGGCCGGGTGGAGTGGAATCAGAGGAGACTGATGGGGTCAGGCTCAGAAGAGGGTTTGCTTGGTCTGGCCTGGTCTCTGGAAACAGCCATGTAGAGGTCAGACAGGGAAGCACCAACCAGGGCGGACCCCAGGATCTGGGAAGCTGAGTTAAAAGGCCTCTAAAACATAGTGTTACCATGCGACCCATCAAAACACTTCTAAGTATCTACACAAGAGAAATGAGAACACGCGTCCATCAAAATCTTGTACATGGAAGTTCATAGCAGCATTATTCATAACAGCCAATCAAATGCCCATCGACTGATGAACAAATTGTGGAGTATATATACTATGGAATATTATTTAGCCATAAGAAGGAATGAAGTCCTGATACATGCCACAATGTGGATAAAGTGAGAAAACATTCTGGTAAATGAAAGAAGCCGAATATGAAAGCCACATATTGTATGACTTCATTCGTATGAAATACCTAGAATAGGTAAATCCCTAGAGATAGGCAGTAGATAAGTGGTTGTCAGTGAGTGGGGGAAGGGGGAATGTGGAGGGATCACTAATGAGAATAGGATTTCTTTTGGGGGTGATGGAAATGTTCTTTTTCTTCCCCAGCTTTATTGAGGTATAATTGACAAAATGATATAATATTTAAAGTACACAATGTGATGATTTGGTATATATAGATATTATAATAGGCTCTTCCTCTCA